TGGGACATTAAAATTAAGTGATTATAGACAGGATGTGATTATAAACAGGGTGATTATAGACAGGTCTGACTGTAGTTTTAGTCTGATTAAAAAACTCTACAGAAAAACAAGAGTAGATTGTCTAGATCATGTGGTTGAGGTGGTAAAAAAATCTAGTCCAGTTAGATTGAATAAAGCTTAATGTTATGAAGGTGTAAGAGGTTTTCAATACTTGGATATTAAAGCTATTTTGGAAATTTATTTTAAGAAGTTACCAAGTATACAGAAATATTAACATTTTCTTTTTGAAGCAACTAATCTTAGTATGGTCAAAGTTCAAGAAGTTGCTAATGGACCTTTTACTGAATTCAATTTATTGAAAACCAAGAAAGCAGATATTTTTGAAGAGATTAAAGCTTTATCTATTTTAGTGTTAACACCATCTCTTTTGGATCACAAAAAACAAGAGTATCTTTATCATAATATTCGTTCATTTGTGAAAGATGAATACAAAGATATTACTTGTTCAAGACCATTCTATACTGGCAACAAATAAAATATTTAGAACAAAAACACCTTCATTACTTTATCACACTTGTTAATTTATCCCCTTACTGTCATTAAGTTTAATAAGTTTAATCTTTTGACAAATATTGTTAGCTATTTTTTACTTTTAAAGTAAAAAAGTACTAAAATAATTTATATACTTAATACACCCTTATAAAAAGGATATAAGTATATTAAAAGAATATATAAAAAAAGGAATAAACAAGAAAATCATGACAAATATTATAAATGAACAATAAAATGAATATAAAGAACTATTAAATGAAATAGAAACACTAAAAAAGCAATTAGAAAACAAAGAAGATGATTTTAAACTAAGAATTTGAAATGCTATTGACAATGTTAAGGAAAATGAAAGTCCAGAAATTGCTGGAACTTTAATGACCTTAGAAAAACATTTTTTGATCTAAGGATGGTTGAGTAAAGATTCAAAAAGAAAATGGAGTTGAGAAAGTTATTTTTGGCAACAATTTCACTTTTGAAAATGTGGTTAAAGGCTTTAGTAAATGAACATTACTTAATTGTGATTCTTATAGTTATATTTATCAAAAAAATGAAAAATTAAAAGAAAAGAATGCTCTTTTAGAAAAAAAAGTTGCTGAATTAATTCCTTTTAAAGAATAGGTTAAAAATTTAAAAGAAAATATGGCTAAAACTCTTAATACTTACCTTAAGGAAGAGTAACAAAAAGAAAAAAATGATTGAGATTATTAGCACAAAGAAGATTTAAAAGAGTTAATAAATGAAAATGAAGATAAACCAGTTGAAGTTGCTATTGAAGTTATTGAAAAATGAGAAAAGGATACTAAAGACTTTTCTGAGGCATTAGATACAGCTGAAGAATGAAAAAATTGACAAAAAGGTCTTTTGAATGATGAAATCAAAGAAAAATCACTAATGCTCTAAAAGTCTGATAAAATGCTTGAAGAAGAAATAACAAAGAATGCAAAGTTACAAGAAGAATTAGCCCAAAAATTAAAAATGTTAAGAAAGAATAATCAGAGATTTGAGGATAAAGCAAAAGAAAGAGAAGAATTAAAAACATAACTATATTTGGAAAGAAAACCCTTACCCTCTCTTCCTAAGGAAGTAGAAAGTAGGACTTTAAATAAACAAAGCATTTTCAAGCAATTAAAAACAAAAACAAAAGCCAAGGTTCAGCAGTTGCAGAAATTAATCAAAAGAGAGAAGTTTCACAGTCAAGCAATTGTTACTAAAATAGAAGTTCTAGTTAAGTAGTCATGAGAGAACTGCTTTACATAATCTTAGATTTAGAAGAATAACACAGCAGTAATTCTACTTAAGTTTTCTGACCTGGTTTGAAAAAAGCAGTTTATCAAATCAGAACGCGAAGCAAAGTGACTGGTAAAATGGTTGAAAGTGATAAGGCTTGTGAAAACTGTAAAGAGAAGTTTGAAAATGATAAATTGCCTGAGTGTGATTGTGGAAGGTTAAAGACTAGATATACTTGTGATTGCAAAGAAGAGGAAAATGAAAAAGAACTTCCTTTTTTATCTCATCAAAACGGAGGAATGGCACTTTTTTACGAATAGCAAATAAATGGCTTGCAAGAAAAGGAAAGACAGTTAAAAGAGGAAGTAGATACACACTTGGAAGCCTTAGAAGTAGCTGAAGATTGGCATAAAAGATAAAAACAGGAACTATTAGATCGAATTAAGCAACTAGAAAAAGAAAATAAACAACTAAAAGAATTAACTCTACAAGAATTATTAAAAGAAATCAATGATTTAAAAGCTCAATTAATTCAATTACAACAACAGAATGGTCAATTAACTGCACAAATTGAAATTAAAGAAACTAAGAAATGATCTTGATTGAAAATAAGAAAGTAATTTTAGGTATTTCCCTCTGTATAATTCCAACTATTAAAGAAAATGATAGTTATTTTCCTTTTAAAGGTTTCTGCTTTTTATTAGATAATAATGCACCTTCATGCTGCTTTTTTTTCTTAACATTTATTATTTTTCTTTCCTCTTGGTAAATTTCATAAGTAATACTTTCTTTTCTTAGATAAGTTTTAAGTGACTAAGTATCATTTATTTGAAGATGTAAGGAGCAATTTTTTCACCTTGTTCTTTTTTAAAATACTTCTAATGGTACTATAATTCTTGGGTTTTATGGTAGATCTAATATAAATTAATTTCATATTAACTATTTTTATGTAGGGATAGTTATATATATCACTCAAGATAGAAAATAGAATATTATAAAACTGTTAATTATAATTACATTACAAATGATTAAATTTTGATCCCTGAAATTCTGGTAATACTAATATTCACTTTGTCTATTTTTGTTGCAGTATGCCCCATATAATAATTATTAATGGAAAACGACCTAAAATTACAAATCGTACTCAAAATATAATGCGGAAAAGATGTTGCTTATATATTATTTACAGAATGTATTATTTAAGAAATATTGTTTATAATAATATCAAAATTTTCAACTAAATTTGTTTCTTCTATATTTCTGATTCTTGTATTTTATTATCTATAAGATCAATCTAACTTGTTATCATATTTTACTAATCATTAATTGTTTTTTACTATTATCTAATAAATTTTCATTTTCTTTATTATCATTTTTTTGTTTCAAAATCTGATATATTAAAAGATATAAATTCATTATTATTAAAAATTTAAATATTGTTTTCAATATCTTCAGAAAGATTTAAAATCATTTTTTTTATATTGCTATACTTCTTTATTAATTTGTAAAAGTTATTCATTACATTGCATTTTAGCTCTAATTTGAATTATTTTTAAAACCTTTTCAGTCTATTTAAATATAATTATTTTTAAATAATAAAAATAATACAAATTATAAAATAAAAATATTAACTTTAATTGATTTTTTTCTTTTTGAATAATATTAACCCATAGTAAAAAATAATCATAAACTGTAATTGAAAAAGACATTATTCAATTTATATAATTTTTTGAATATTCTTATATATAATTTTAAATCCTAATATATTATTTTTAAATAATTTACAATTGTATTAGTATATGATATTTTTTTACATAATATCTTTTAATTTAGATAATAAAATATTAGAATCTTTTTAAAACTAAGCATAATAATAATATTATATCTATTTGTTTAAATAATAAAAAAAATAAATTTAATACTAAAATAAATATAGAATCACAATATAATAAATAAAGTTAAAAGGATAATAAAAAAGTATTATTTTCATTACTTTTATCAATATTCAATTTTTTTTTTAAAAGAATATTGCTTAAGATTTAATTATTATTATTATTAGATTTGTTTTTAGTTATTTTAACATTTAAGTTAAAAGGCTATAGTAATTAATTCTACAGTTAGAATTTCTGATCTTAGGATTTTTTTTAAATCTTACAGATATCTGTTATACTTAAATCAATTTGACAATTTATTACATCTTAGAATTTAAGATATATTTAGTCAAATTCATAATAATGAACTCAATAGTAAATTAGTATAAGGTATAATAATAAATTCTAGATGAAGAATAACATTAAAGAGAAAAGTAATTTATATAATTTTAAATTTATTCCTTTATTAATAATTTGAAACTTAAAAAAGTTTTTAAACTTATAACTGAGTTAATTTACAATTAAACAAAAAGCTATTCTATTTATACAAAATTAATTTACTATGATTAACTATTTTGTTATATTATAAACTAACTATTTTAGTAAACTTTAACTATAAGATAATAATAAAAGAAAATAAAATAAAGATATAAAATATAAGATAAATAATACAAAATAAGAAATAAATAAAATAATAAATATAATAAAGACATTTAAAAATGAAAAGTTATCTATTATCATGAGTATGAATAAGTTTCATAATATCAGAAGAATTAGGTAGATTTATTTAATCAGAAAAATAATATAAATTTTTAGTATTTTTTTGATTTATCTGTTATAATAATTGTTAATCATTATTACGCTTTATCATCTAACAATTTTTATGTGATATTTTCTGTACTTATAATAACGTTTATTTTTAATGTTAATATTATATTTTTTTAAAAATAGACATTTCTCAAAAAATAAGCACTATCTTATTTTTTAGTATTCAAAAATCATATTTTTTAATATCTAAAAATAAAATAATGTTAAAACAAATCCAATTTATTAAATATTTATAAAATTTAATGTTTTTTATTTATTTTATTAAAAGAATTCATCGCTATTAATATTTTTTCATTATTATTAAGACTATTATTCATCACTGCTACCATTATTGTTTACTCTAATACATCTAGAATTACTGCTAAATTATATTCACTTTTATAAAACTTTATTTTAATAAATTTTTGACATGACTCTTAAATAAAATATATTACAAATATAAAGTATTTATTATTTTTACATAACTTCTAGATTGAATTTTAATAATTTTATTAGTACTTGAAATTAAGCATTTCTTTAGCAAAAAAATATGCTTAATTTTAAAGATATATAGTATTTAAATTTTTTATTATATTTTTGAATTCATAAAGTATTTTATATAATTGTATATTATATCTTTAAATTTTATTTAATATTAAATAATATAAAATTATAAGTTCTTCTATTTTTATAATATTATTAATTATTATCAAAAATATAATTAAAATTATTTTTGAAAAATCATATTCATTTTTAATTGTATTTTTATTAATTAAGTAGCTAAATTTCAAATAAATAATTTTTTTAATTTTAAAATTAAAAGTTTTAAATAATTTTTATAGAGTACTTTTATTTTTAAAATACTTATAAAATAATAGTAATGAGAATTTTATCTTATTGCAATAGAAAAATTAAAGTAATTTATAATTTATATATATTTATTTATTAAATATAAAAATATTTAAGCCAAATTTTTAAATGACTAAAAAATATAATGATTCTAATTATTTCTTTTGCAATATTATTTAAATTTGATAATTTCTTAATATATCTTTAATATATAAATTTATTTAATATAAAAGTATACTAAAAATAATTTATCTTAATATTTAAAATATAATCATTTTCTATTAAATCAATTAAATTAATTAAATACTGTATATTATAATTATATATAATATAAAATAAAATTATCTTACTATTGTAATTATTCAAAAAACTTTATAATTTCATTATAAATAATTTTTTATATATTTTTTACTATTTATATTTTTTACTTTTTAAATAATCATATACTTAAAATTATAAATAATACTGAACTAGAGTTCTGAACGAGTCGAGTTAACTCATGAGTCAGATAAGTTGAATTAAGTTTAAATCAAGTTGAGTTTATATTTTTTTGATTTGATAATTTATAAGTCAAATTGAGTTTGAGTCAAGTTAAATATTTAACTTGACTCGATTTAAACTTAACTCAAATTAATTTGAAACTATTATAAATAAATTAATATTTTTAAAACTATAAAAATTATAATATTATCAATATACAGTATTAATAATAGTTTAATATAATAGAATTAATATTTTTTTTAAGTATTTTTTACTTATTTAAAATGGTTTTTTTTTATTATTTTTTATTTTTTTTATTTTTTTTTTAATTAATTTTTTCCTTTCCTCCCTTCCTCTTCTCCCTTCAGATTCTTTGTTATTATTATTTTTCATTATTTTTTTCTTATTTTTAAATTTTTTTTGACTCTTTTTTTTTATTTTTTTTTATTATTTTTTTCGTTATTTTTATTTTTTTTTAATTAATTTTTTTCCTTTCTCCTCCCCTTCTCTGATCCTTTTTTATTATTTTTTTGTTATTTTTTTATTATTTTTATTTTTTTTAATTTTATTTTTTTTTATTATTTTTTTTATTTTTTTTAATTTTTTTCCTTTTCTTCCCCTCTCTCCTCCAATCCTTTATTTTTATTTTTTTATTATTTTTTACTTTTGTTTTTTTAATTTTTTCTCTTTTTTTTTTCCGATTCTTTTTTTTTATTTTTTATTTTTATTTTTTTTCCTTTCCTTTTCTGATTCTTTATTTTTATTTTTATTTTATTTTTTATTATTTTTTTACTTTTGTTTTTTTAA